TGGCGAGATCTCTGAAACACATCTCTAAATGTAGTGGCGTTGTCAGGGATAAACTCGATTCTATCATTGACAGACACCTACAAGCATGTGAAAATTTCGCCGCCAGATACTCTTAGACACTCACCACCCATTACACAATGAATTTTCCAAAGCTGTATCTACATCATCCACACGCTCCAGATTTAAACTTTTATTTGCACGTACCTGTGCTTATCGCAATTCTGTTCTACCATATCTAGCACGTCTACTTATAGACAAGGGCAAAATTTCCACAGAACCAACCGCAACCGCTTGCTTCATTGACAAACACCTCATTGCTTTCAGTTTCATTATGTAATGATTTTGTATATTTGAATCCACAAATATGGTGTAATTGTTGAAAATACACCCATCCGGGTGCAAAAGCTAATACTGACTTGACTTGACTTGACTTGACTTGAGTCAAATTACTCAGTGGATTTGGCAAGCGCGTTCCGGTCGATCAACAAGGTTCGATGTAGGCAATTCCGAGCAGTGAAGCATCGTATACTAGTCACGGCCGAAGCCGTAATTATTCGTATTCACAACCTCCTCCCCCCTTGTGCTCCCAGAAGAAATTCGCGCAAGCACTTAATCTCCCCTGGCCCACTTCATCCACTCCAACAGGTGTGCAATCACTTGAACTTTTGACACTGTAATCACAGACACACATTCACGCATGATAAGGAGCCAGAGCTGAACCATTAAGACTCGAATCTCCCATTCCCTGTTTGTTCTTGTTGTTATTCATGTTTAGCGTTATAAACTGGCATGATTACGAATCACTGAAAACGAGCTTGTTCGCCACTGTTGTTCTCAATATATTTTGTGGAACTCATGAGACACAACAGTCTATCAAACTGAATCCATAAACTAACGCTTCCAAGTGAAACATAACAATAATGTGTATTTTACTATTTTCTAGTTCTAAGTAACCTTTGTAATTCAGTGCATCTTCATTTACTATATACCATGATGAGATTTTTTGCTTCATTTGTAATTTAACTATTTAATAATTATTTAATTTTTTTGTTCTCTATTGCAGATAAGTACTCGGGGATTATAACATCACGGAAAAATGGTACGTCAGTTGTGTCACAGCATGAAAATATCCTTTGAAAATTAACTTTGATGGTGAGAGATTGGTCTACTCAAGCACCCCGTCTCCTCAGCAAAGAATCTTAAACATTTTTAGTGAATAGATTATTGAGAAAAAGAAATTTGGTTGTGTCAGAGACTACCGTGGTTTTTTGAACATTACTGCTTAGCTTTGTTGTATTCTCATTTCGTTTCATTCCTTTTCTCGGTCGACTTTTTTTACATAATATCGTATTATATATAGAATATGATAAAAATGATAATATTAATAATAATTTATCAGATACAGTATCAGATTTACAGAGTCATGAATGCACTCGACCCTGAGCATCGTTTAATTGTTGATTCTTTCTTCACAGTTAGTGACTGGCGTTCAGACCAATCTCAGTACATCAGTGCCGACAATTTTAATCGTTTTGACATATCTTAGCACTATTAGCTGTGCTGAATCTTACAAATATCTTCACCAGACTCGATGTCCAGATGGTTAACATCTTTGCGAATAACCCTAATTTATCTATGCCAGAAACGTTTTCCGAGCAGTATATCTCGCCCAAACGTTTATAATAAATGACAGTTACTTAATATCAGTTTCTGCCTACAGAACCGTGAAAGTAATTTTTCCTAAATAACTTGGCTCCAACCGAAATTTCTGTTTTCCAAATTACTGACAACTCATCCTGCTGTGGAGATTTTTTCAATTTCCTTTATTTTTGGTTTGGCCTGTATCATCCGATTATGACTCTGTGCATACGTACCGGTGGGTTCCCATCGCCTGTACTAAACCATCATTTTCGCCACAAAGAAAAGGTTTGTGTGACTAGCAGGAGCATAGATGTTTCAATGAAGTAGCAAAGAAGAAGACACAATTTGATATACATTGAAACTATACTGGAAACAAGAACTTTCAGTATTGAAACAAATCCGTAACCGTAACGTAGCTCCTTCCTACATGACGAGGACTTGAATGATCAATTTATGACTGCTTTCGCTGCTCATTATATCATCATCATTTGCGTCCGCTTAAGAGAGCCGTTCGCTCCGATTGAACCGTTCTGAGACATCTCAAGTTAAACAAATTGATATGGACTTGAATCACTTCCCTCGTATGTGGAGTGTATATACCTAGCAGCTTGCACTGCCTATTGCCGAATTGTTTACTTTGTGTTTGCCCTCTGGCAGCATTCTTGAGTGTTGCCAACCTGCCTCAGTAGCACTCATCCCGAAGAAAAATTCTTCAAAGCACCGACTGATTGCCTATAGCTCAAACTGTCCAAAAATTTTAAAAGCGCGTTAATGAACTGGTTCACCTCCTGATCTTATGTTCATACTCCTCAACAGTTTGCATTCAAATCTTCATTTTCCACCTACTGCAATTACCCACGCTATTAACTCTGATGGACGGTCTCGAGACGCTTTTTTTAATTTTCATGGATAATGCAAATATTTTTGGATTCCTTGAAGCGGCTTACTCCTTCAATGCAGTTTCGATTAAGTTCTGAGACCCGTGGTAAATATCTTCATCAATTTATTCTCACATCGAGAGCAAGTGCCACTTTTTAACGGTGAAACTTCCCTCTCAGAAGAATGGTATTTCCGGAATTGCAGGGTACAATTTTGTCACCATTCTTTAGTTCTCTGCACATATATTTTCTCCCAGTTGTATTGCTTTCAATCAAGCTGATTATGTGATGTTTGGGGTGTCTCTTCACTGAACTTGACAATATCTCTCAAATCAAGGACTTTTTAGATCAAACTGCCTGTTCATCTGCTTCCTGATTTCCTATTCTTAATGTGGAAAAATTACTTGATTCACTTTTTGAATTTTAGACAGGCTCCCATAAACAATTTTAGTTTTCACGGCCATAAACTACGCAGTTTCATTCGCCGGTTTTGGTTTTTGTCTTTTGGCTGCCCATTCGGATGAAAGAGTAGAATTAAGATTGGAATGTTGAGAGCAGAGTCAAAAAAAAGATAGAGGATTTGTAGAGAGTGGGGGTTCAAGTATAAAGAGTAGATGCGCGAGCACCACTGTTTGCGACACCCAACCATATACATATGGGTGTGTGAAACAGGCTTACGGACAAGCATGTTGCCAACACCACAACATTAATAACAATTCCAATAACGGGATGGGGTTTGGGATACAGAACATAGTAAAAAAGGTGAAATTTTTAAAATAGAAAATTGCAACCCAACCATATCACTCAGTGTCTCTTACTACCGGTTACCATAATCTCGGGGTCCCCATCGAGGGAGCCTAAACAGAACTATTTGATCGAGTCTTCTGGTTAGAATTTTGCACCCTCATGCCAGGTTTTAGTTTGACCACTCGTGAAATTTTCCATTTGCTTGGTGCCTCGGCAAACATCACGCGCCGTGGTAACCTATTTGGTGGTATGTACGATACATGTCCCAACCACCATAGTCTATGGAGGTCTACCAGTTGTTTCAGTGGACGAACGCGATTACCTAAAACTATGCGCCTAAACTCGGCATTGCTCATCCGTCGGCCCCACCAGATTCATTTAATGCTGCGTAGGCAGCGGCGTTCAAACACCAACAGTCTATCCTGTTTTCTTGATGATTAACCTTCCGCGCCGTATAGCAGAACTGGCCGAAGTGTCACAGGATACACTCGACCCTTCACTGATAACCTGAGTTCAAACGGTGCCCCCGATGACCCAGGTTAGCAAGCGGCATCCGAGTCTTCTGAATGCGTGCTGACACTTCATCTGTGACATGTCGGGCGGGTGAAATATAGCTGGCCGAATGGCAAACCTTTTCTACTTCCTCTACTATGTCCCCACTAAGTCAACCCAATGTTGTGGCAGAATTTTACACTTTGAAGGTACAAACCGCATAAACAGAACCTTTAGGTGATCTGACGAAACTTTTTATTGGTACTGTAATCATTCTTAAAGTTGACTCTAATAAATACCTTAAAGTGACCTTTTGTGTGAACTTTCTCGATGGAAATTTGGAAAAGCCCTCGCTTTACAATTCGCAAACGATCTCTCTACACTTTTACACTTGAAAATTGTGTTACTTTTGTAGATTTTCCTTGAATTTCAGAAAGCTTTCGTTGTTTTAAATTGAACCTACTATGCTCCGTTATTTTTCGGTAATGTAACGAGAGAGATAATATCCTCATCTTCGGATCCATAAAAACTCCATCTCGTTACAGTAGTATACCTAGGACTATCGTGAATATTTCTATTTTGTGCACGTACTTTGGTGGATGTGATCCCTTCGCCAGTCATAAACTGACTAATGAAAACCACTGTCTACATGTCTATCTTAATGAATTTGTCTCATTCCCATACATGTTTTAATTTTAGGCTTCTCCCAGCAGGTACTATCTACCACCGAAGTAATGCTTAGTATCTTAGTATCTCGAGCATCTCTCACCAAGCCATCAGTACACTAGGCATCTAGACATTTTTAACAGTGATTGCTTGCGCATAATCCTTTGACAACATTGGTAGACAATTGCAGACACAAACGTTTTCTGTATTGGAGATCAGTACCGTAAAACTGTGTTCTCAATCTGCTTCAAACCTTAAATTATGGCTGCGATGGCTGCGTTCACATCAACAAAATTTTTCACGCATGAGCCAGAACCATCAAAGTACCGAATTCAGATGAATTTTCGCATGGCGTACAGCTGAGAAAATATAACTAGTGTTCATTTAATTATACAACGTCAAGCCCCTATGAATCTGCAGCAGCTGATATTAAAAACAAACAAATCAGATCAATTTTAGCCTTCATTAACTCAGCTTGCAAATATGTAAATTAATAAGGCCAGATTACTTTGCCTGTTGATCAACTTTTTGTTCTCTCTTCAGAACAGCTCAACAAATACAACGGGAAATGTGAACATGCCGGCTGCTGCACTGTCCTGTTGCGAATACATGCGACGGAAGCCACCCCCTTTGCTCTATATGAAACAATTCGATCGAATCACCAAGCACCAATTGGCTTTGGTAGAACACTATCGAATCGCACAGGCAGAACACTGTAAACTCGGCCGAAGCAGCATGGCCACAATGCTCGAGGCGAACAAAGCGTTCGCAGCCAAACTGGGCAGTCTGGAACCGGAAAGTTGGCAGACTGGGCTGGAAGATTGCGGCGACTTTTACACGCATCGATGGAAAGAGGTAACCGAACTAAATTGTGAAGTGACGCACTTTTTTGTTACCAAGCCAACTGTATCTATGTGCATTATTCAAAGTATGATGCTCTCACTGTGGATTTCTTCCTACTAGGGAGAAAATCCTAAATTCGGTTCAGACTGGGAAAAATTGTTCGAAACTACTGATTTACATAAACATACAGCATTTTGTTTAATAATAGGTTCGATTGTTTCAATCAGAAAAAATTCAATGAATTGACAGGTGGATAGAACATATAAGGACATGGATTCCTTGTTTCAGTACAGTTTTCATTATTTTACAATTAGATAGTTTTGTGCCCTGTTTCACATTTCACATCTTACCTGTCGCACATGCATTGTATAAAACCGGTAATGAGCGAAAGTTGGATTGAAGACTGCTGGATTATGTGCAGGCCAAATAATCGCTGTTTTATTGAAACGTAATCCATCCAAGTGCGATTTCGTTCCATAATCTGTCATTGATTGAATACTCATCCCGTTATACGCTTGTAATTAAATATTATTAAATGTTTTCTGCACAATAGCTCAATCTAAACAGATTGTTACAACCACTGTGGACAAATGGCAGACATTTGTGGTTTCGTCAAAAAATAAAATCCTATACAAATAAATACATGAATTACATGGATTTGTATCTCTATATATCCAAACGAAGCTGAGTGCATACTGTATCCAACAAACCAAGGTACAACAATCGTTACAATAAAGAAGCCAGCCCATGATTTCAAAAAACTGAAACATTTAGATCCCATGATGAAACTGCAATTCAACAGATATACGTCGTAGCAATGGATGGCCTTCTTGATCCTGTTCTATACACGATTTTCNACGATTTTCACGCCTATGATTGAAGCACGGTTGGATGAGGCAATCAAACGAACATTTTCATATTAAAGATAGGGTGAGGATGTTTTTATTATCTTTAATCAGCCTGACGATATGGTTGTACTGCTGGATGAATTCAAAACAGTATACCGCAATTTTAAAGTCATCTCTGAAATTCGCTGGCTTTCCCTGATGTCCTAATAACCCTCAAAAGTGCAATTCTATTCAACGATCCATCTTCCGCGAAAGGACTTGGTCCGAACAGTTAATGCACTTCAACAGCTTCGCATCAATAGAACACAAGAGAGCCCTGGTTCGAACGTTGCTCTCTCTATAGGCGAGAGAAATATGTACGGAGGACACAATACTAAACGACCAAGTGAATATATACAGCGCATTAAGGGACTATGACTATTCGGAATCATTCGTTCGTCTTCATAGTTGGACAAGAAATCAGACTCAAGAAAATATCCATTGGATATGTAAAAAGGATATCCACATATATCTGCCATACAAAGGGGAGTCAACAATGCAGCTTATCACAGCATATAAAAATTGCTTTACCTAGATCCTACTATGCTGCCAGATTACTTCTCCATCCGATCCCACTGCGTCTTCCCCTGCCCCCTCGCCAGATCACCACTCAGTACAGTCCACCTCCCATTGCATTTACACTTTCTGTTGCAGCTGCAACGAACGGATCCCTTTAAACTAG